TTATATTTTCGCGAAACTACTTTGCTTTTAAAAGGCTGCACGATTTTCACTGTTTTCATAGTGTTTTGTAACTGCACATTTGCTTTGACAGTTTGTGCCTTCAAGGAACTCAAAATCTATCCCCAAACTACAAATTAGAAAACAAGACAAAACGTTTTGACGATGAAAACGTAGTTTTAGCTTTGTTTATACTTTGTAGTTTGCACTCCTGGCCAAAATTCAAAATGGCGCATTCAAAAGGGCACCCACCTGAAAAAGTGGAGACATGATTCGTCATTAGCACGCATTCTATGTCTATTATTTCTATGGTCAAAGCCCACACCCCCATCTCAATGTTGCAGTCCAATATTATATAGACAGAGTTGCCGAAGCGAAAACGATTTCAACATTGTTTTGGGGGAGTGGGGGGCGTAAGTTATAACATTAAATCCATCCTAAACGCATATGAGCCTACCTGTCCACATGATTTTGGCCAGGATTGTATCTCCATTTCGATCTTTCAGAATCGATTATTTTACTAAATACTCGAACAACGAGAGACTATCTCCAAAGAAAATGCCCAAAGACTGAAATTTTGCGATAATACTGCAGTTGCTGTTATGAAATATGACTGGGACATCAAATCGCTTGGCATTGTGCCCAACAAGAATTGTACAGACCTTGTGTGCTGTCAATTTCTGGCATTCGCGAACGGAATTCTCGAGGTAGGAGATAAAACCTCGTCACAGGTTAGTGCCAATACAGGATTTGATTGTTTAAATATCATTCTCTTTCCGTCTGCAGTTTTTATCGAAAGGTTGTTTAGTTTGGATGCAATTTATCAGTATTTTTATTTGGCAAAACATACTCGGAAAATGAAGCGAGACTTGACTGATTTATAGCTGCCAATTGGCATAATTCTGCTTGTTTACCTGTCGTATTTGTTTCAGTATCGAATAAAACAATGTTATAAAATACTGCAGCATTGTCGTCGAATGCTATGGGAGAACATTGTGGTCTGGGGTATAGGGTGGGACAATCTCTTCATAGGGAGCTAGTGTATCAGCTGGTAGGTCAGGGCAAATAGTTCTTGATTTGCAGTGGTACAGGTACTGGTAGCTTTGGGTAACGTGAGGCCAATATTTGTCTCGTACGTCTTGCCATCCTTCTTTTCACTTGATAGAATACCATGTGTTCGCTTGGTATGAATTTCATTCCTTCGCTTCTTGAACTTCAAGGATTTCTTTCTCGTGTTGTCGCAATCTCTTTTCCTCTTCATTCCATCAACATATACAACCTTGCGTGAAATTTTTTTTTTCCAAGCTTAGATAGATAGATAGATAGATAGAAACTTTTATTTAAACACGCTAACCATTGTCAACCTAGGCTGATTTCCACAAGGGGCGTGTACAATAATAAAATTACAAAGATATAGTATATAGTAAGATATTACATA